ATAATCCCCATTTCTCTATTCACCAGTAATGTTTTAACATTTCGATTTTCTAACATTCGTATAATGTGACCAAGCCATCTAGCTCTTTGGGCTTGTATTTTTGCCGTAATTGCTGTTTTCCATACATCCTTATTATTTCTTTATTTGTTCATCTTCTCCAAATATTCTCTGCCATTTTTATTCCATTTTTCTTTCTGTTGATTCATATTCCACGTTCCACTGGTATACATAACTGTGGGTCTGATTACTCTCTCGTAGACTCGCAGTTTAGCTGTTCTTGACACATTTTTTTTCTTTCAGTTGGTAATGAATTTAGTGATCCTATCGCTCTGCTTCCAGTCATTAATTTTTTATCTATCTTCTATATATTTCCTTTTTTCCGACTTTCGAAATCGTGTAACCAATGGTTACCTTTATATCGTATTTCTGTATATTCCCCCTTAGGGTGCTTGTGCTTAGATTTTCGTAGAACTCTAAGCTAAGAACTCTTTCTAAATCTTTATCTTCAGTGGGCGCATGTACATTAATGATACTTATCTTTCTATACTTTCCTCTTACCCAAGTAACATATGTAACATCGTATGTTTATTTTATATAATATACATATATATATATATATATATATATATATATATATATATATATATATATATATGATTTCAGTTGTTTTCCGGTTGGACTCCGCGTTAAATAGTTTTGGTTTTTAGAAAAACCATTGTTTTGACGACGTTTCGTCAAGGGTCACACTTGCCATTGTCAAGTCGCTAAGTTTAAATACCTTGTAGTAATAAATATATATAAATAACTATTCTCATCAAGAGACATATCTAAAAATGAACAACAACGAAACAAGAGACTGATTAATGATACAAAATTACAGACTATCGAGCCACAGACATAATAAACATAAAAAACTCATTTTAATAATAATCTTAGTAAAAAGACTTGTCCATTAATTCCGTAATGAGGCAGAAAACATACGAAATTTAAATAAGTCACTTCGGTCATAAATTATTTAAATAAAAGTGTAAAGTTGAATTTCATATACATAATTTTAATATTTCATTGGTATTACGACTTCAAACAAACAATAGAAAGTTATCTGCGTATTTAAAAATTACCACCCACGAATTAAATAGGTACCTAAATACCGAGCGACCCACACTCACTCACGTTTTTACTTATTCTAAAATGTTATTATTTTACAACACAAAAATGAATAAGTTATTGCCAAATTTATGTGAAATTACTCCAGAGATATTATATTACCATACCTACATAAATACTTGACATAAATCATTTATAGAATAGGTAGGAATATAGAACTTCGGCAATGCAATCAATTCCTTGCGGTTTGCTTTTTGGCCGATATTTTGGTTTTCTGGGGGTGTTTTTTAAGCTAGGGGATGGGGTAGTTTTTGGCGATTGGTTAATATATCAATTAACAGCAATTAATCAGCAATAAAATATGCCGCCAAGATGGCCTTGCACCCCTTTTTTGTGCCGAGATACAGCTATGGCTATGCTAGCTTTATTGCCGGTATAACCAAACTCCCCACTTACTAGCCAACGGCTCCGAGCGGATGAGCTGATAAGTGGAAGGGCACCTTTTTGTCCTAACATTGGTAAGTCGGTCTTGAAGGCGGAGGAACCTATTAACAATGGTCAACGGCATAAATATGCAGAAGGCAATGGGGAACCACTGCATTAAAGACTAGGAGAGTACCCCTAGTATAATCAGCAATAGGATAACTAGTTAAAGAAAAGATAATACTGATTATTGGATTCGGATACCAAGATCCAGCAGAGAAGGACAATCACAAGACGGCAAGGTTTTCTGGGTCGCCAACAGACGAAATCCTTGCAAATCTAGGGCAAAGAAAATGCTCACGATCTACACATGGAATGATAAAACATTATACGAGGTCGGTAAGAGTTTGTAATTACTAACACTTACTTAAACTCCCATATAGAAGATTATACATGTGGAAATCACCTCAAGATACTTTAGGCCAGAAAGTCAGAAATCAAATAGATTACATTATGATTAATAAAAGATTCCGTAACAGCATTACATCAGTCAAGACATGCCCGGGAGCCGATATCAAGTCAGATCATAACCCACTGATTTGCAAAATGAGGGTCAGACTAAAGAAGATTCGACGTAGTCAACCCAAAATACGACATCAAGCTGTTCAAAGACCAACGCACAGAACAGAGTGTAAAACAGTAGATACATAGCAGTTTGAATACCGTTATTCAAACAGATTTGATAGACCAGGAGCTTGAAAAATTGTTTAGAGTTTTACAAGACATACAAGAAAAATTCCTCAAACCACCAAAAATTAAAAAAAAATCGATGATGACAAATGAGATTCTAGATATGATGGAAGAGAGACGAAAAGTCAAAGATCGGGACAAGGCATTATACAAAAGAATAGACAAACAGATTTAAAAAGCAATAAGAATGGCTAAGGACACACAGCTGAGAAAACAATGTGCGGAAATACAGCTATTACAGCAGAAACACGATTCATTCGATATGCACAAAAAAGTTAAAGAAGCTGCAGGCTTATACAAGCATTGTATGTTTGGCAGACAACCAAGGTACTCCACTACTAAGTGTGGAAGAGGGATTAGACACTTGGAAGAAATATGTGGAAGTAACATTTGCAGATAAAAGGCAGATTGCCATTGAAGACATAGAATGCCAAACAGGACTCCCGATTACCATTGAAGAAGTCACGGCATGTATTAGAAAAACTAAAGGTGGTAAAGCTGTAGGGCCTGACAAGTTTTATACAGAATTCCTGTAACTTATGTACGAACAATGAATAAATGGATAAATTATATATTTAACAAAATATATATAACTAGAAATATTCCCCAAAGCTGGTTAAATTCGACCTCCGTAACTATAAAAAAAAAATACGAAGACTACAGAATAATTAGCCTAATGAGCTACTTAAAACGTTTTTAATAGTGATAATAGAACATATAAAAAATTTGAAGAACACGTGTCGTGGACACAATTTGGATTCCGCAATACCTTAGGCATCCTAGAAGGTCTATTCGCTATACAAGTGCTTATCCAGAGGTGCAGGGATGTCAACTATTATGTATATATTTGTTTTATCGACTACAAAAAGGCATTTAATATAGTAAAACATGACAAGCTCATATCCATCTTGAAAGAATGGGCTTGTATGATAGAGACTTGCGAATTATATATAATTTATATTACAACCAAACTGCCAACATTACAATGGATTACCGGTTGACAGAGACAATTTCCATAGATAGTGGATTGAAACAAGGATGCATTCTGTCTTCAGTGCTATTTAACACGTATTCGGAGCGTATCTTCGAGCAAGCACTGGGACAACAGGAATGCGTCTTAGTTTTTTTACAAGCAGATATGCTTGTAAAGTTTAGATATGCATAAGTTAGATATCAAAGTTAGATATGCATAATATTCAACATTTTCTATGGTATGATTTTTTATTGTTATATTTGTCTGTTCTCGGCTCAGTATTTTTGTTTTACCGTAGTTCATTTTTAAGCCTACCGCTCCTGAAACTGCATTTAATTGTTGTAGCATATCATTTAGTTCTTGGGTATTATCGGCTATCAAAACTATGTCATCTGCGAATCTCAAGTGGTTTAAGTATGATCCGTCCACGTTGATACCCGTGTTGTTCGATTCTAGTTTCTTAAAAATGTCTTCTAGAGCAAGGTTAAATAGTTTGGGAGATATGGTGTCTCCTTGTCCTACTCCCCGTTGGAGTCTTATGGGATTTGTTTTTGTGCTTTCGTCCAGCTTTATCTGCATGGTGGCATTTTCATATATTTTGGCATTTTATAGTATCAAATGACAATTAGAGTTATAGAAAAATTTATAAATTGGTCGGAACCCCACTAACAAAAAAAGACGAATACTTCCTTAATCGCAATAATTGAAAGATTATGATAATCAATATTGAACATTCTTAATAACTTATTCCCTCTGAACGTATTGTAATGTTATCCTGTATTTCAACAATAGCATTTTTTCAGTACACTCATTAATCAACGGAAACGGAAAATAATACCCTCAAATGATTTCAACGTCAGATAAAGTTGAGTACCCATAGAAATACAGTTCGATTGCTTCTTCCTATAGGGTTGATATGGGGTTTCTGATTAACGTGTCGGTGTATTGAATTTCGTGTTAAGAGTTCAAAAGGGATTTTATCATAAAGGAAGTTTTGTTTTTAAAGACATGGATATGTTAAAACGACCGTGTAGGTTTTAGAGTGGTAATCGTGGGTGGTATTACGCGAAACTAGAGAATTATTTGGATCATAGCAAAGGAAATACGTCATTACAGTTTTTACAGGGGATTACATTTTATATTTCTTTGACGTTTCCATGTCCAATCCGGAAAAAATTGTGAAATTAGAGAAATTAGCAAAAAAAACCTTTTTCGTGACACTCTTTGATACAAGTGTCTAACCCAAAATAAGCAAAAGATTAAATGTTATTTTTTCTTATAAACAATATAAATAATGTAAGATCCCTATTTAATTTTAATTAATTAAGGTAAGGATTGGTAAATTAGATGGAAAAGTGACACCATTTTACTGAAAGCATAGAAAATCTTTAAAAATAAGAGTTTCATAATTCATGAATTTCAATTTATAAAAGTCACAATACATACAAAATATCAACGAAAATTGATTTTTGACAAACTTTTTTATCGTTAACTGATTTAATTTTATAATTTCTAAATAGTTACTCGACAATTCTTGCGAAAAATCTTAAGAAGAGGGTCTACAAACAAGGTTCAAAATCATAAATACTCAACAAACAACAGTCAGAACTTTGTATTTAGTAATTATATTATTGTTGCTCTATTTTTCGCACAAAAAAAACATTTTCTGGTTTTGCATATTCTTTTGAGCATAATCATAACAAACTAATCCATAGATTTAATTAATTTGTTTTTATTTGTTGTTCCAGGCATGCAGAAACATGGAAGGAAGTTATATTTTTACCATCCTCACTATTCTAGTGGTGATGTTGTTCGAGGGAATACTGACAGGTAATCAAAAATATTTTTTATAGTCAAGAATCAAAAAACATGTTTACTTTTTTTCAAAAATGTATCGAATGACACCAAATACGATCCCCACTTCTACCACGTGGGGTTGGGGTGGGGGCAACTTAGAAATCTTAAATAGAAAGACCCATTTTTATTGCAGATTCGGATTCTGCAAAAAATTCGTAAAAAGCTGTATTCAGTACCATCACAATTAGTTTGCAGACTTCTGATCTGTATTTGTTTTTTCGCGATTACAGCGTCATCTATCGCGAATCGAAAAAAAAATCAGATAAAACTTATTAACAAGAAAAACAACCAAAAATTTTCTCATTTAAGATTACAAAGTTGCCCCCTTTCCCTCTCTATGGGGTTTGGCTGGAGGGTAGTCTATGGTGTCTATAAGAACATGAAAGTTTTGAAGAGGAGCGTACAAAAGGGGAAAATAGAAATTAACAAACTGAGAAACAGAACTGGAGAAGAAACAACGAACAGAGATGAAATATTAAGAATAGTCGAAGAGTCCTACACAGAGTTATATAGATCAAGAAAAAAAGATAACAATACGTAACCTCCAATTACACTAAAAACTGGGGTATTAAACCAAGGATAAGATTTAATGCCCGATATAACAAAATCAGAAATCAAAGAAGCCCTGAAGAAAATGAAAAATAATCGAACCCCGGGTGAAGATGGAATAGTATCAGAAGCACTAAAAATTGGAGGGGATGAATTACTGGAAAAAATTTAACAACTTTTCAATATCTGCCTTCACAGCGCCAATATTCCAACAGACTGGAACAACGCTACTATGATTCTATTACACAAAGCAGGAGACAAAGCAAATTTAGAGAATTACAGACCGATTAGCTCCTCAGCCATATATATATATATATATATATATATATATATATATATATATATATATATATATATATAAAGTTGTTTACGCGAATACTAGTTAAGAGAATGGAAAGAAAATTAGAGACTTATCAACCAAGGGAACAGGCAGGATTCCGAAAAAGTTACGGAACAAATGACCATCTACAAAGTATAAAAACCCTAATAGAGAAAGCAGTGGAATACAATAAACCTCTAGTTCTAATATTTATCGATTTTCACAAAGCCTTTGACACAGTTGAGCTAAGCAAAATATTACAGGCGCTTAAAGAATGCAGGCTAGATTATAGATATACTAAATTATTATACAAAATATACCTGCAGGCAACAACCACTGTCAGATTACATACTAACAGTAATCACATAAAAATAGAACGGGGGTTAGACAAGGAGACCCAATGTCACCTAAACTTTTTAATACGGTGCTAGAACATGCTTTTAAGAATTTGGATTGGATGACAAAGGGAATAAAAATAGATGGAGAATATCTAGACAACTTACGTTTCGCCGATGATATACTTATAATAGCTGAAGATCTAGGTATGGCAAGAGAGATGGTACAGGAACTCGTTGTGGCTACAGAAAATGTAGGTTTAAATATAAATATCTCGAAAACACAAATCATGACCAATTTGGTACCCAACCAGAACATCAGTATTGGTGGGAAAGAAATAGAACTCGTAGATAGATATAAATACCTGGGACATGAAATTATGATTGGCAGAGATAACCGACTCATGAACTGAAGAGAAGAATCGGCCTTGGGTGGGCAGCATTTGGAAAACTGAGAGAAACTTTTAAAAGTGAGCTGCCCACATGCCTAAAGAGAAAGGTATTTGATCAGTGCGTCCTTCCAGTCTTGACATACGGAGCAGAAACACTTCCGTTAACAAAAGCAGCAGCTACCAAACTGAGAGTCACGCAGAGAAGAATGGAGCGGTCCATGTTAGGAATAACTCTGCGAGACAGAATAACCAACGAAGACATCAGGAGAAGAACCGGAGTGACTGACATCATCGAGAAGATAGCCAGACTAAAATGGAGATGGGCAGGACACATAGCCAGAATGACAGATGGGCGATGGACAAAGAGGTTATTGGAATGGAGGCCAAGGGAAGACAAGAGAAGCGTCGGTCGACCACCTACAAGATGGACTGACGATTTAAGAAGACTCAATAAAAACTGGATAAGAGCGGCGCAAGATAGACGGGGTTGGAAACATGAGGAAGAGGCCTATGTTCAGCAGTGGATTCTTGAGGCTGGATGATGATGATTATGAGTCTATGGTGTCATTCGATAGATTATTGAAAAATATTAAAGAATTGTTTTTCAGTTTTTTGATCCGACGTTCATTTTGCGAAATATTCGAACGTTCTTTTTCGCTTCTTTTTCCACACTATATTTATATATATCAATAGAAACTTTTTAAATTCCTGGGTTTGTCGGTTTGTTTTAAATAAAAACATTTAATAATTGCTTAAACATTTCAGCGATTTGCCATTTTCAATAAGCCCTTTATTTAATAAATATTACAATACACAATTATATTTTTTATGTTTGTAAATATGTTTTTTCAACTTTGATCACGTTTTGTAATTCTACGCAAACACACATCCATGCTAGGGTAAGAGAATCCAGTGTTGGAATCTGAGCTAAATATTTTCCTGCAAAATCCCTAAGTAACCTTCTCAGATTATTCTTTACCATCATTATAAATCATTCATAACTCGGATGAACGTGTGAAATAACTTTTAACATATCAAACTTCCACCAACCAATTGATAATTTTTTACAGCAATCAAATTAATCTTAATTATTGAGGTCAATGATTGAGTACATGATTGAGTTACATGTGCCTTTTTGGATGTTCCTTTTCCAATTTTCGGGATCGCTCTTCCTCTTATGCGTCTTTTTTTAACTCCCAGGTATATTTGACTTCATGAATCCACTTTGTAAACTTATAATAAGCACACACAAACGGATTAAACTAATAATAAACACAAATGAAACGATCCACATTGGAAAGATCTGTTTTTGAAATAATAAATTCGACTTTTAAGCTGAATATAATGTATTTGAAAAATAGCAGGCAAAACCATATCGGAAATCACTGCTAACTAATTTTTTATTTTTTTGACATATGTCCGCCTTTGATATGAAGCCACTCATTTAATATATTAAATAATATATGGCAATTAAATTCAAATTAGTAATTTAATGCATTTCTGTACGTTTAATTTTTATTTTCTTTCAGACACTATGTATATGGTGTCAGATCCAGAACCCATAGCTCTTCCGATAAACTTTGAGACTGTCCTGACGTGCGAGATGAACATAGAACCAGATAAGTTCGAATGGAAGTTTTATCCTAGCGACGATCCTTATAATCCCAATGCTTTCATTGATCTGAGCAACTCCACATTCCACTTGGTACCGGAAGGAAGGTACAATAAACAACGAAAGAAATCGGCGATGAAGATCCAGGTAAGCATCAAGTTATTTCCTAAAACTTTTTTTAATTCCTGGGTTTGTCGGTCTGTTATAAATAAAACACTTAATTATTGTTTAAACTTATCGGCGATTTGTTATTTTCAACAAGCACTTTAATTATATAAATTACATACAATAATAATAAATTGTAATTTGTAATTGTAATTTTTTTTTGTAATAATTAATAATAATAATTTATGCATCGAGCAAAAGATAAAAGAGGAATGTAAAGGTAGTGGGGGCAGAAATATTGTTAGACAGGAAGTGCGATTTTTAAAGGCCACATTAAACAAGGAAAGAGAGTCTCTCTCCTTGTTTGACATCAAATTTAGTTGGGTTATGTTATTGTTTGTCCCAAATGTCACATGAAATCTTATTTATATTGAAGTTTTTTAACAATTGTGTCGCATTTTAGACTATTATTGTTAATAATTAATTAAAACTTTCTCGTCTAAGACACATTCTGAAAAATATTATATATAGTAAAATTCATTAGGCGATGCAGGAAGATGTAAACATTAAATCGTGTCCGAACCGGTATGAGCTGCTGAAAACTTCGACAGACGAAATAAAGATGGACATTTCGGTTAGTTTTTAAATATTTTTGAAGAACTGTTACTTGCATTTATGCATAAAATATTCATTAATTTTATAAATCAAATTATTTTTTTACTTACTATGTATTCAGTGATAACATTAATTTATTTACTATGCAATAAACACGAATATTTGTGAAAAGAAAAAAAATAATAAAGTATTATAATTATACTGTTACTTATCGGAACGGGTAGACTCATTTGGAACATCTTTAACAATTATCTGTTAAATTTATCGTTGTTTATATGCCCTGCATCGCTTAATGAAATAAGGTATTCGCTGTGAGTTTCGCCGGTAGCGCTCTCTCGCGGTTTGAAACTTGTACTTTTCTTGTAAAATCAGTGTAAATGAAATATGACAAAACGAGAAAAATAGATATTTATTTAAAAATAAAAACTAATGAACTGAAATATTATGGTAAACTGATTAATGAACGAATACACAGAATTAATAGTAAAAGTAATTACGCCTTGTTATTTTATTCATTATAATTATAATATTTAAGATATAAGTTCTTGCGACTGGATGACTACTTACGCAAGAGGTCACTGAGAAAAAGAAGAAGTTTATATGAAAATATTTAATGGTTAAAGCAAATATTTAAGGTTATAGACGCTTAAAACGTCTATATTCTGGTTACCTTTACCTCTGTAACGTTGTAATTCTTGTTTTTATTTTACATTTTTATTCTGTTTTTGCTCAGTTATTTTTTATGTGCGTAGGCCTTAGTGCTTAGATATCAATTTGTTTTAATTCTTCTTCTTCTTCTTTCGTTTTATGGCCTCCACCTCTTAAATTTGTTTTAATTTTATCAAAATGGATATTAAACATTATACTGGTTTTAAGTCTATATCACATGATATCCCATTTCAACCAGCTACACCAAAAAAGCGAAAAGGTTTAGTTGATGCAGGGCATGTACGCAATGTTTCGGAATATAATAGCTTTTTAATTTTACACCATACAAATATCATGTTTGCATTATAGGTTATTTACTTATTTTTCTCGTTAATAGCAATAATCCATTTTTCTTTTTGAACTATTTTATGCTTGGCAACAGGAAATGAATAAAATTTACAATGACTGTTGTACCCAGTATTTTTACATGTATCATATATTTTTCTTTTTGAACAATCCATATTCGCCATTATTTGAATGTTTACAAGTTAAATGCACAAAACTGTCACTAACAGCGTTGGTGAAAACTGTCAAATCCCCTCTACTCATCGGCTCACAGCGAATAGCTACTGTTAATAAGTGTCGGAAAATTTAAATTTGGCGCATTCGCATTTCCGGATATGTCCGCCATCAGAGGCCACTTTTTTGGTCTCCTTTTCATAAGGATTAGATTCCCTCTTTTGTCTTTTTGCTCGATGAATTTATGTCTGCAATTTTTGATAGTCTCGTACGGTTGGTTCATCCTCCATGTTGTCTTTTTTTACATCTTTAAAGAAAAGAAGGAAAATCTGCATACAGATACCTGTATCTCACCCAAGTAGTGTTGGGTTCTTAGTACCCTATCGAAGTTGTGCCAGGACGAGATGCCCGAGGGAGTTAGACCTTTTGACACTTCGTTCCCGTCACCACTCCCGAAATGGTATGCATCCAACTAAAACCTCTCCTGTCACTCCAGACATCAGGATGGAAGGGCTGGTTAAGGCAAAACATCTCTCCTGATGCCCTGCTATCACCCAATTCCCATTCTTTCTCTCACGAATTCATCGGGAAAACCACACCCACACGAACCATCAGACTTTCAACCTCCTGCCTTAGCGAGGCTGTCATCTCTATCGTGTCGTCTGTGTCTCATTCTCTCCTATTTCAGCCTGCAACAGTCCAAACCCACCGAGGTGCTACTCGCTGGTTTTAAAATTATGTTGTGAGTTCCCTCTCCTCTCGTTCTTTAGAAAAGAGCAGCTCCCTGATAAATTTCTCTCACGGAATCAAACATTTGACAGTTACACTCTCTTTCAAACGTCTTTATTTCACCCGCCCAACGCTCATACTCCAACATCGTGTGTGTCACAGTATGCTGGAGACTACATTAAAGGCACTAATCGGGCTGTGCCGTCCTAAACCTGAAAATATAGTAGGGGAACAGCCATGGCCTGTGAGCATTTGTGTCAGATAATAATCCAGCCGCCTATGCCCACAGTCTACCCAGCTTCGAAGGTTCGGGATTAGTGACTTCGTCCACTCCGCCACATCACGTGTTCCCACTCTTGCTGCCACTGACCAATTGAAATCAATCTTTCGACCAGTCTCATCTCATCCCTCGCTCTCCAATGTTCTGCCCCCTACGACTATGAATCCTGGACCAGTGATTATTTTCTTCGAGCTGCTTAATGGCTTTTGCGAGAAAATTGTAAGTCCGTTTCCAGACTTTTCTTTATCTGGACAAAAGATGGTCGAACAGTCACAAACGCCGGTTTCCTACACTTCTTATTGTTTGATAATATCAAAGTCGTGAGACTGTTTATTTAAACACTTAACCTTCTTTGAAGTGAAGTATTCGTAGTTCGATAAGGTGTTCGCATAGGTGAGAAATAAAACGCAGAGGTTTCTTCAAATTCCTACTCAACCAAATAAGTCTTGACGGTATGAAGATTAAGACTAGCTTAATCCATTCGATCGGAAAATACACTGCTTTTTATGCGTTTCTTGGTAGCATGTCCCAAGCGGTCTTCCATCGGAAGGCCAATTTAATTGCAGATAATAAAATTCCTTCTAATTGGCCTCAAAAAACAACTCAATCTATTAAGTTATGATACATATTGAAGAGATCTTTGCACGTCATTTATAATAAGTTGTCTCAAGTTTTCGGATTCCTCATGTTACTAAATATTTTCAATTTTTAGGTCAATGGAGTTCATAGTGCTGGAGATTACCAGTGTCTCGCTTATTACGGAGCTTACGTAGTAGCTTCGGTACCATGGAGAATAACCATAGCAGTACTAAAAGAATTTCCTCGACAGGATAGTTCCGACGCGACCGTTTTAATAGGAAACACAGTGTTGTGGCGGTGCTTAGTGCCAGAATCAAATCCGGAAGCGTCCATAGAGTACTTCAAGAGAGGAGAACTCGTCAGTTCGCCATATCTGAAGCATCAGTCCAAGTCGTTGGTGATACCGAATGCCAAGATCGAGGACACGGGAATATATAGTTGTAGAGCAAGTAATACTATGAAAAATGTCAATTCTAGTGTGTATTTAAATTTAAAAGTAGTTAAGTATGCGTCTCCTAGACCACCCTATTTTATAAGTGAGCCGAAGAGGAGTTATACCGTTTTAAAAGGTGAGTGCAAATGTTTTGGAACTTATCATAAATTAATTACAATGAAAATGATTATTTTCACATCATGTTTTATATGTTATCGTTGCTGTAGCGAAGTTGGGATTACAAAAGGACTTGCTGTAGATTAGAACGGATTTCTTAGATATTCATACCTACTGCAGTTAACATTGTTCTTGTGGTTGATATCGCATTCACTTTATTTTGAATCTTGACCATGCCAATCCAAACTTTTTTTCAGTTTTTTTTGTTTTGTAGTCGCTATTCCCTTAAAAAATTAACCAAATGGTCTTATTGTTTTACAACTGGATGTGTTTGTTAATGTGCTGTTTATACCTCTTCTAGTATTATTTAGATTCTATTTCCGCCATTATAAAAAAATTAAATTTTGGTAATATAAATAAACAAGTATTAATTCTTACAACAAAGTATTACGTAGCAAATAACTAATGAGTTTATTTTAATGAAAACGGTAAACTTAAGAAGTGTCGGCAATATCTATATAAAAAAGAGCAAGCAAAAAAGTATTCGGTGTTGTCGACAATCATCAAATGTTTACAATAACCAAACGATAAGCAATCAACACCGTCAATATAATAGAGTCGGTTTCTAAGGAAATAGTTTAAAAGGATTCGCACTTACTTTGAATTTTGCATACACTACGTGTTGCACAATGAGACACAATCACTTTTTTCGGGTAAACTATTCGGCTCGAAGGACCAATGACGTTTTTGTTGCCTCCTAAGTCCTATTAATTTAGATAACATGTATCTATAAGACTTTATTTTGAATTTTGTTGAATTTATATTACAATTTTTATGATGTACAAGTATATTATATGAATGGCGCATTGTTAATAAATCGTCGATGTCATCGGAAAATGTCTGTTTCACTATCACCGGTTGATTGCTCCGTGAATTGATTCGGTGTTGCCATGCCTTTGATAAAACTAAGTGTCCAATATTTAACAAATTAGTATCAGGAAATCTCTTGACAATTTAGTTTATTTTATGTGTCTTAGATTATCGGGAATGAGTTGCTAGGTGGACTCCAAATTCGTGTAGAAAATAAATACGTATATTAGGGAAAATGAATGCAATCTGTAGTGTTTGTCGATCCTCGAAGACGATATATATGCATAAAGAAATCAACGATTTTTATTTGCTTGTAATCTTTATATAAGCAACTTTTGATCATTGATTCCAATTTTCAAAGGTCCAAATAATCTAATCTAATCATATCTCCAAAAAATCATAAAAATGGAGATCAGAGTTAGGACAAGTTATGATATTCAAACGTAGCCACAGAGAAGCACATTTAGAACTTGTTTATATTTACTAGAGGTGTCATCTTCGTTACAATGGTTGGCAATCATCACAGTTGTTTCATTTTTAAAACCTAAATGCTTATGTTAACAAACACCTATATCTGCCACTTTTCACTACCCTGCTTTGCTCTATAATCATCATAACTTTGTACCTCCTCACTGCTACATATATCGATGTATCCAAATATTTATATATCAATCAATTCGTTTTCTTACTTATCTAATTGTTTTCAGACTTAAATTTTTTCCTCTTCTTCTTCTTGGGGTGCCTGTCCGTTCCGAACGTTGGTGATCATTCTGGCTATGATGACATTGTTGGTTGCTATACGAAATAGCTGTATTGAGGTATTTCTATACCATACCCTCAGGTTAGCAAGCCAGGATATTCTTCTTCGTCCTGAGGCCCTTTTTCCTTCAATTTTACCTTGCAAAATGCATTGGAGTAGCTCGTATCTGCCTTAATTTCTCATTATATATCCCAAGTACTGCAGCTTACGGGCCTTCACGATGTTGACCAAATCTGCATTTCTTCATTGTATCCTCTTCAGTACTTCTTCATTGGTGACTTAAATTTTTTACTTATATGTAACTATACTTGATAAATTACTATGAATTTTAAGTTGATCTGTACCTGCAATAACTGAATACAGAATATATTGTGTTGTTATAAGCTGTCAAGTTTGTAAAAATAATAAGAGAAGCAGAAGAACGTAGTAGAAAATAGATAAACCGTCATATATGTTTATTGAGATATGTTCGAAAATATAATTAGAAAAACCTATTCCGTACAAGAAAGGGGTCAATAATACTATAGTCAATAAAAAATTGTGTTTTTAGGTGATTCAATCCTACTAGAATGTGCAGCAGTAGGCAACCCCATACCAAAAGTAATATGGTTCAAGAAAAATGGCCAACTTCCTTCAAGTCGTATCGAAATGCAAAAAGGAGGCCTTTTGATCAACAACGTCATATCTTCGGACGAAGGCGTCTACATATGTAGCTATAACAACACATACGGGACGATATCTCATCAAATATCTCTAATATACAACGAAGAACCAAGTATAGACTGCCAGACAAATAAAACCGAACCAAAACAAGGAGAGTTTTTGGACTTACAATGTACGGTTCGAGGAATACCTCCACCACATTATTCTTGGTTCCTAAATGGATTTTCCGTGTTGAACGATAGTCTAATCGACGTTCGAGGCAATAGAATAAACTTTACTAAGATAGAGAAACGACATGCTGGAAATTTACAATTCTTTGCGAGAAATGTGGTTAAAACTGTTTATAGTAGTATGTTGATCAGCGTGATACCTTTGGGATCAACAGATACTTCGTTAGCTACAACAAGACCTCACAGAAAGTAAGTACATAACCAATAATTAGTTAGAGTTAATGGATTTTGGGAACAGCTATGACCTTGAAAATGCCACAAAGAATATAACTAAATCTCTTTTCTTACTCAGACTCTTTAAAGTCTTTTACAATATTTTAGAATCGAAGATATGTAATTATATTATTAATGTATTGGATTTTGACAAGAGCTATGCATTATGCCTATTTATTACACAAGTTTATGTGAAATGTTCAAGGTCATAGCTGTTCCCAAAATCCATTACCTCTACTGTTATCGCTTAGTTGTTGTTATTAATTTTCCTTCTATTTATGTGTTTATTTGTTTTATATTTATTTAAACGGTGTTGGTTGTATTTTTTATGACGAAATAAGTTAAATAAAAAAGTGTCAACTATTTGAATATTGTGTGTGTATGTAAATTATACAGAAACGTCAACTGCGACGTATACGCATGTCTGGTTGATCACGAGAAAGCGTTTGATCGAGTACAGCACGCCAAGATGATGCAAACACTAAAAGAAACAGGAATTAGCAACTAAGATCTCAAGATAATTAGAAATCTTTACTGGAATTAGACAGCAAATCTCAGAGTTGAAGGTGAACACACTGACTATCTGAAAATCATGAGTGGAGTAAGGCAAGGCTGTATTTTTCTGCTCTAATCTTCAATCTGTACTATGAAAGAATATTTAATAAAGAAACTGAAAAAGATATTCTACTAAATGGTTACCGGCTAAACAACATCAGATATGCTGTAAGCTCGGAAACCTTTTTTGGATGATGCTAGAAAGGTCATGGAGACACTGCGGACGGCAGCCAGATGGTTGGTGGAGAGCGAGTCGTGGGTTCGAAACTAGCTTTTGGAACCGGGAATGGGTCCAACGGAGGAAATAAGTAAAGATAGAACAGGAGAAAATATATTTGAAAAGATACCGAAATAAACCAAAAGATAGATTGGAAAAATTACTAAAATTAAGATAAGATAGGGAACAGGGTGCCACTTAACTTTTTGGGTTTAAGGAGAAAATTAAGAAACCTTAGAAACGAAAAGAGATAAGGAAAGATATTTAGGTTCAGAGACCAAACCCAAGAGAAGATATTAACAGTTAATTATTAAATAAATTTTGTCAACACACTATATAAACAAATAATAAATATATTAGGTATTACACCTACTTACCTACGAAACTTAATCAGCCTGAACTTTCTCCTGGTCAAAGGTATAGTACTAATTGACGGTAAAAAGCAAATATTCAGAGTTATTGTTATATCAGGAAACTTGATAGGAGTCGACAAATAAAATTCATACATAAAACAAAAACATTATATTCAACAACACAATAATATAATATAGGCGGCTGAATGTACACACAAGTAATAAAAATACACCATCAATTGATCAATAGTTGTAATATAGAAATGAACAGTATTATAATTACGAAATACCCTTACAAATACAATATAATGAAATCATACATAGTTTAAGTTATCAGCGAAGACAGTCTGAGCTATATAAAAATATTTAAATAAAGTTGATTAAAGAAAGTCTCTCTTTGCTGTTTAATGGGCATATCTCGAGATACTGGGTATAGTAAATAAAAAAAAAAATGAATAACAAATAATACAAAGTTAATTAAAGTTAAATTCAAAGAATACAACTAGATTACAGAAATAAAAATTTAACCAACCCGCACTTGGTATTAGTTAATTATCTGTTCGCACTGTTGTTTAATGATTAACGGAGCATTAAATGTTCGTAATTTAAAAGTTCTTAATAGTTGGTGGAAAGTTCGTACGAAAATATTAAATGTTCTTTAAATTCAATTGTTAAATCGGTAGTTAGCCTTAACTACAGGTGAAGAAAATGATGAACTTAGATTCGCCCAGATAATTGAAGATACTATGATTACTTACAGTAAATCTTGGTGACTGCCACAGTGCACTGAAGCTATATACTATACGTGTATCAACCACTGAAGTTATTTAAATTAAAAGGTAAAAAAGTTATTTAAATAAATATTTTATACCAATATCTAATCTAATATGATATTAGATAAAATAACTCAAATATACAGATATATACACACTTAGAAAGAAAAATGCACAGAGACGGTAATGTAACGAGTGTCTTTCCTCAAAGATCGCTTAACTAGCCTTAAGTCCTTACTCAAAGACGGCCGGTCAGAAGTGGTCTTCCTTCTGCCAAAATTTTACCAAACTACCCAAAAAAAGATGACGGTATCTCCCACTTAAAAATGATAGGACAGTATCCATTTCTAGGAAGGTAAAGTTCTAACGACTATCGGAAGGTTCGAGGTAATTCATTACAAGTAATTTGGAACGTGAGGCAATTAAGATTTTTTGGATTAGATTCTTACAGCAAAATTAGTATAACGTGCCTTCGGCGATATTTACCAAATTTATCCAAAAGAACCCGCATTCACCGAAAAGCATTAGTCCCTTTTAGACTCAGGATTAAAAAGGAAAGGATTAACCAAACCGGCGTCTTTTAATAAGTAGGTAGATTTTTCCATAATATTTCGGTAGTTTCTCAATAAAATTTAACAACCCATTTGTGAATACGACTATCAGCGTATCTGCAACCGGGGTAAAGGGATTAAAAATAATTTCATAGTTTAATTATAAAAAAAAATGTTACAATACAGATGACACCATAGTATTTGCGGACAACTTAGAAGATCTACAAGTTCTTATGAACAAAATCACGTATTATGGTCAACAATATGGACTCAATATAAACGTTCAGAAGATAAAGCCTATGATAATTAGCAAGAAAAGGATAACAGAAGGTCAACTCTACGTCAACCAATCTCCTGTAGAAAGACTGACGCACTACAACTACCTCGCCACCATAATAAATGAAGAATGGACCAACAACCAGGAGAATAGAACACGCATCGCAAAAGCTAGATCCACCTTCAATCGGATGGGGGTAGGGATGGTCGGAACAGGGATTTTTCAACAACTGTTACAACCTGTTTCAGTTCCAAAAATTATCTGTTTCAAAAAAACTGCTTCAGTTCCAAACTGTTCCAAGTCTAACACTGTGTTATGGGTTGTTTCAGTACCGATTCAGTTTGTTCCAGAAAGGTTGTTGCATTAACAATAGACCATTGTATTTGTGGTTGTATATTTTGAAAGTTTGAAGTTTTGTCGCGAGTCGACAATTCACAGTTTACAATCATGGTTTATGCGCATGCACATACTTTCCACTCCACTGGAACTGCAACAACCATATAAAAGCACAGCAATGCAACACCGGTCTCTGAAGTAATTGTAAATACACTGGTCTGTTGTGTGATAAAAAACTGATATATTGGAACAGGAAAACTTATTGATCAATATCTGTTCCAACCTGTTCCAAATAAAAACCTGTTTCGAAAAGAACACATCCTGTTCCAAAGTGGCATCTCTAGATGGGGGCCTTCTTCAAGAGTCACAACCTCTCTTTTGATACAAAAGTAAGAATGCAGCGATGCTACGTCTTCTCTGTCCTTTTTTATGATGTTGAATGGTGGACCTTGAACGAAGATATCTGCAGAAAACGAATCATTTGAGATCTGGCTATATCGGAAAATGCTTAAGATCCAGTGGACTGACCGAGTCACAAATGTGGAGGTCCTCAGAAGAATGAATAAGAACCGAGAGGTACCACCATCAAATCTCGAAAGTTACAGTTCTTCGGACATATTAGACGAAATGAATCCAGATATGCTCTCCTTCAAGCCATCCTGCAAGGAAAAATATTTGCAAAACGAGGTCCAGGAAGAAGAACATCTTAGTTAAAGAACCTCAGAATCTGGTTCAATACAACATCTGTGCAGCTTTTCCGCACTGCTGCAGATAAGATAAAGATTGTCATGGTCAGAGGCACATCAAGAAGAAGATGTAAATTATGATTGTACGCTACCTTTGATGATGAATGCTTTTTTATCACTCCAGGCGCGCTAGACTGTAAAATTTCGTGATTGAACCGAGTTGAATCACACTGTGGGTGGATGGTTACACAAAACTGAAGTGTTTCTCGCACAGTATTTATACGAATACTGAATCATTTTAGTACACGCCGAATAAACTTCGCATTCCAGTATATTAAGACGGTGTCTATAGAACCGTATTGGTTGCGTAACGTAAACGTACACACACACACACACACACACACTAAATATGAAAAGAAATAATTAATAAAATGTTTATTTAATAATAAGAAAAAATACGCGTGAAGAGACGAAACATCTGTTGTTAGGCTAATCCATCGACAACCCATGTTTTAATTAGATTGTGACGATTTAATCAAATATTTTTTTAGGCATTCGTCAAGAAGGCCGCCGAAACGGCCCCAAAAACCCCCGAAGCTCATACCTCCCGGCAAACCTGTAATATCGCGTCTAAACGACGTATCTGTAGTGGTACGCTGGAACGTATCACAAGACACAGGATTGCCAATTTCGTTCTTTAAAGTTCAGTATAAGGAACTAGGACCTGCCAACCCGAATGCTCATAACGGTAGTAGTAGACCTGGAAGGTGGAAGACTGCCAACTTTGACATACCGTATAATATTAGGGATTACGACATTACCAATTTGAAACCAGATCATATCTATAGGTGAGTATTTGTTTATTTTGCCACGTTTTTCCGCTAAGTACAAAAGTAAAGGCAACGTAACTTGAGTGCAGTGCACTTTTTGATCCATCTCAATCGATCATTTTGGATGTCCAGTTTCACACGTTGTCGCGTAGTTGTTGCATGCTGTCACGCGCCTTTACATAGCTACTACATAAGTGTCATATAGCTGTCGTACGCTGTCACATAGCTGTGCTAACGTTATTGCGTAGCTGTGACACATCTAGCACGTAGATATGCGACATCTATGTAACAACATGTTACAGCTACGTGATAGTGTGCAACAGAATTGTCCAACTTATTTTATATAAAGAAATACCATAACAATATTTCAGACTATATAGACAAAGTTCTTTTTACAGATTTAGGATAGCCGCCGTTTATACCAATAATGATAACAAGTTAAGTGTCAATTCTGATAAGTTCCATTTGAAGAAATTAGACTTTGATGTTAGGAATCCTCTTCCTACGCCAATAATTATAGAGACTGAAACTGTTAATACCACATCTGTTAAGATACACTGGAAGGTAAGATTTATTTTAAGTTTTCTATTGCTTTTCATCACTAACAATATATTATTGTACTATAAGTAAGCAGTATGCAGATCTCTGAAGGTTACCCTACCAAGTCCATTTTGTGGTTCTTGTCCTTTTTTCAAAGATTGATTCTTTCTGAATCTTCCGAATTGAGTAACAATGCCACTGCCCGAAGGGACAGCATAGGGTGCGTCCAGCAATTTGCTTTGTACCAATTTTGCCTGTTCTTAGCTCAGTGTAGAATGGCGTTTATGTATCACATCCATCCTGAAGACTTTCGTCACCTCGCTACATCTTACCTCTTTCGAGACGATTTTAAACTTCTTTGCTTCGTTCTTGTCACTGTTAGGACTCTTTGGAGTCTTTTATTTCCAATGCTCCTGCACTCCTTCTGTTTCTTGGGCATATCGATTTTGCTAATCCCCTCAAACAATTCTGCAGAGATCCGGCTTCCCTCTGCTACTTGTTTACCGTCAGAGTCAATGGATTCCGTCTCAACGAGTGTTGTTCTATCTCCGTGTCTGAATCAGTGCTTACTGATTCTCCTCTCTGTGTTGGTGAAGAATTTGAGTCGGTGGTCTGTGACTCCCTCTTCTTTTGGTTTCGTTTTTTGTCGTTTCGTGTACATTTAATTCCCACGACTATCTAGGGAAAGGGTGGTCCGATCATGTAGAGCTCCGCATACATGAGTAAGGCAGTAATCCAATGTGGCTTCCTATTCTCCAAGGGTACCTTTTGTGATACAGTTCGTCAGTATCTTTTATGTTCTCGCCATAATAACTTACTGTTTAGAAGAAGGGTCGATCCTTTTCTTGGTCGAGGATTGCTGAGGGTTGGGAGCTCGCGTACCCAGCTCCGCTCAACCAGCGGAAAATCAATAAGCTTCTAGTATGTGAAAAAAAAGGTTCTCAGAATAATATTTGGCCCTCAAAAATTCACGGGGTATTGGAGAAGACGCCGCAACATTGAATTGGTGACTCTGTATAGAACTGAAAACATAGTTAGACATATCAAGGCAAACCGAATAAGATGGGCAGGTCACGTAATATGATCAGATGATGACAGAGTGTTAAAGACAGTGTTTTTTGACAGATCAGATGGTAGAAGATCAGTAGGCAGACCAAGAAAAAGATGAAAGGATGATGTTGAAGCCGATTTATCTAGAATTAGATGGAAGGCTATAGTGGATGCGGCGAAGACTCACCCTGAGTTGTAAAGCCAGTGAAGAAGAAGAAGCATGCGCCAACACAATAGCTTCTGCCAAAACTCAAGTTTACAAACCTCCACTAGTGTCCTTAGACGTTTCAATATAGCTCCCTATGACTATTTCACTAATTTCAGAATGGTCCCAGTGATTTAAAGCACCGGTGATATAGTTTTGCTATGTCGAATCAGGATTCTTTTAAAGGAAGGTTATTGGACTGACTTCGTGTAATGCTTTTATTCAAAATTTCTTAACATGATAATGAGATTTAATTTGAAAGAAATAAGAAACAGTTCATTTTTTAAATGTCTGTTAATGTTGATAAAGTAAAAACGAATAGCAGATTTTAGATCCGCAAATAATTAGGCTTCGAAATTAGTTAGGCTTCGAAACCACATAATAAACTAATCATGCGCAATTATGCTGTATTTGAATAAAACAAGAATGACTAACCTTGTAGTAATAAAGTATTGTCCTAACTTAATAAAAATCGTTTTGTTTTTAGTGCCATATGATAGAAAACGTTTCAATAGACGGTTTCTATATTAGCTTCATATCAGCTTCGACGGCAGGAGATTATATGAAAGCTACAGCCGATGGAAGGGATACCAGGGAATACATAATTACTCATTTGCAGCCTGATACTATCTATGACGTCAAGTTGCAGAGCTTTAATTCGAAGTATGCCAGTGAATTTAGTGGAATCATGAAAGCTAGAACTGGAGGTAATATTGCTTAATGACTTTTGTTACTTTTAGTGTTTTTTATTCCAAAATGTTTTCAATAGATTGTCAAAATCTCAAAAATAGTGACGTTTTTTAATAAAAAACATACATTATCTCAATAAATCAATTGACATGTGTTTATGTTGCAGCTCTTCAACAGTTGCCAACAACTACGACCCAATTACCAATGTCGCCAACTCCTAGAGTAGAAAAGTCCGAATTTAGTTTGTATGTGATTGTAGCTGGTGCTGTGATAGGATGTGCCTTACTCGTCTGCGGCATTACTCTTATATTCGTTTGCAGAAAATGGAAACAGAAAAAATTAGGTAAGGATTAAAATGTTTAAATTATTATTTATTGTTTAAATGAAATCGGTTAAAAGGAATCACAATGTAAAGTGAAGGTTACCTATGGGACAATGACCTACCCTTTCTAAAACAGACCTTTAATTATAATTGTTATGTTTTAGTAGACAACCGAAATAAAGCAGTAGTAGATGACCATACGCTTCAACTGGATGGCAATGAGTACGTAGTAGTCAGTCCGAAATCTCTACCGAAATCGAACGGTTGTACCCCAAATCGGATCACCATCACCGCTAATCCGCTCGCTGATGCGGACAACAAGGTGAGGTACATATTCCTTTTTATATCTATCTCTTTAGGCTAAGTTTGTTTAGATGTTACACGAAAAATTGGCTTCTTATAATCTTAGATATCATTGCTTAAGTTGTAGTGCAATGTGTCATGATCATAGTGTAATTGAATCAGTAGTAGTAGGATTTAGCGCGAGACTTTTTATTTATAAAGTTGTTTATAGCTGTACATAAATTTTTAATTTAATTACAACTGACTTGAGCAATCAAAAGACTTTGAAATTTTTAAATTTTTAATTGGTTATCAGCGCCTCCACCAACCGGATTACAAACCTTACTTATTTACATTTCGAAAAGCTGTTATACTTTCACGAAATCTTTTATCTGATTTTATATTTATTATTGAAAACTTTTTAAATTGTCCTCATTTAAATATCAAGATTCATTTTACAAAATACCTAATAAAAAAATAATGCTACTAATTATAATTAAACTATGATCATGTTAGTGGTAATATTTATATTAATTTTTTTCCAGTGTTCCGTACATAATTTTCCTCACATTATTTATTTGTGCTTAATAAGTTATTATACCCTATCTGTTTGCAACTGGCAGCTCACTACAAATCCATATCTTAAATTAGAGGTTAAGGTCAACGAATTTTTTTGGTCCTGAAACCTGAAAGGTTTTTTTTTTTTGAAAAATTCTGAGTTATGCATTAATTTGTCTAGTTAAATAATTTTATAAAAGACCCAATGAAGTTAAAACCTCTTAACAGTAATAATAATAAAAAAATAAAGCTCGAATTTTGTAAAAGTTGTATCTTAGACAGATAATTACATGAATTTTCTTTCCGCTCTTTAATTTTTTCACTAATCAACTGCTGTCTTTTAATAGCAATACTATTTTTGGATGTATGTGGCATATCTATACTATTACATTAATACAATACTATGTCTCATTAGGGAATAATCCTTTATTAATGATTTTGACGAATTTGACAAATCATATTTGCAGTACCGGCTTAGCTGCCGACCGAGTAAGGGAAAGTTATGACGATTTTAATACCGTCCGTGTTATCAGTAAGCAGTTCAGTCCATGCGTTAAAATTGCATCATAGTTTTGTGTCAAAAACTTGTTCATGACTCCCTTGTTCATCAACAACCTTGAAAAACTGTTGATGTAGTGACTATGTGCTCCGGTATGAGAGGTGTTAGTTAAATAATCATTTACAGATTTTCACGTGAAAGAAACCAAGGAAATATTACTGAGCCAAAAAGACATGAATGAAAACAACCAATAGAAATTCATTTATTCGTTCTATTTAAACAAGGAGATTCCTATATTAGATACAATATTAAAGGCAATAAGAGATAATACTTTTCTTCACTTTGACCGAGATAAGTTATGGAAATTATTTGAAAAAATCAGTTTTTGCTATGAAAATCAAAGAAAAAAAACCTATATTGAATGATACAGAAGAGGATGTTTGTTGGCAAAGGCAATATTTGCGAACGATAAAAATATTCTTGTTCCATTCCTTCATTAGGTTTGAAGTTTAAATGTTGCGTCTATTTTAAACTGATTTTATACAGTTCACAGTTACTTTTTCTTTATATTTTTTTCCCGAAATTTGCAAATGCCTCAATGTATTTTTTTCGACGTTTGTGGTTTAATTAATCGTTTTGTCTTGTTAGGTAAAACAAATAAATAATAGAAATACTCACAATCACTTTAATTGTTTATACATACTATAACTTTTTATGCATCGTCAGGTCTCCGGAAAGGTAGCTTAAATGCTAAAATATAAATTGTTATTAGAGTACTGTCAGTAGGACCTGACGATGCATAGCAAATTATAGTATGCGAAACTGTTCGTTCAAGGTAGAATAAAGTGATTGTAAGTTTATTATTTATTTTATTATTTATTTCATCATTTATTTCTTTTAGTTAAATTGAAATGGACTCAAATATGCAACCCATTTATCATTTTCTTTTTATTATGAACTATGGTTAGCACTTCTCGCTTTATTCTGCTGTATCAGTTTTCCACTTCCTGATATCTTCGTCAGATCTTAGTCATTTTTGGTAAAGCTTCTTTTTTGTTAAAACTAGCTTTTCTATTTCATCATTCCACCAGAGTTGGTTGCTTGGTTTGGTTTTTGATTTTTGTCCTAGCAACTCTTTTATATATATATATATATATATATATATAATATATATATATATATATATATATATATTTACATTTCTATTGTGTCTTCTAATTCGCGTGGAACAAAAATTATCAAACCTATTTTAGCAAAAAGTTTGTATTTTTATGTACCACGAACAATATGTTTATGAAGTAGTTGCTCAAACCAGTACCTTTTGCTTTGCGATGGTATTCGAATCATATACACATGCATGTATTTTTCTTTGTGTTCAGCAAACTGTATTGGCAGCGTCTCTCTATCGCAAGTGCACACCAAACGGTCTAAGTCCTTATTTGTTTAGCCTTAACCTTAAAGTTTATACGAAAGGGTAACCGCTGGTTTTAAATTTTTATCTATATCGGCTATACAGGTAGTTGTGAGGTCAATTATAGATTGCGTTTAACTGAAGAAAATGTAGATGGAATCGATAGTAGAGGATTATTATTATCGTATCAGACCAAATTATTCAAGTATTTCAAGAAGATTAATACAAGAATTAACGTTGGAGATCAGATCGCATATACTATGTATTGAAAAATCGCAACTAACAGTTAAAATTCCAGAAATATATAATATAAAAATAAGACTCTAAAACAAATACATTGGTTAAGAAGATGACTGCGAAATAATACAGAAACACCCTACCAGATATAGAGAACATACGAAACCCTCTATTCCACTGACCCTTTTAGCCAAGAAACGCTTAACTGCGGAACAGTACTATTCTAACAGCTAAGTCAAGCCAGACAGGAAAAGTGGATCGAGATCCTGGAAAAAATAGACATGACACATAGTAGCAAAATAGCATGGAATCTTGTAAAAAAACTTAGCGGTAATCCAAAAGGACATAAACCACCTTGCAAGGTTACAGCAAACCAAGTCGCTGCTCAACTCCTTATGAATGGAAGAACTACGAACCGATATAAGGACCCAAAGACTAGAAGAAGATTGGATTCGGAGACAAACCACCTACGAACTCCTTTTACACTAAAAGAACTCCACGACGGTACGAAGAGGTTAAAAAACGGAAAAGCTGCAGGTATGAATGATATATGCAGTGAACAAATAAAGCATCTAGGCCAAGGAGCAAAAAACTGGATCTTGCAACTTTATAACTCATGCTGCAAAGCCTGCGAAATTCCAAAATCATGGAGGAAATTTAAAGTAATAGCCTTGTTAAAACCAGGAAAAGACCCAGACAATCCCAGTAGCTACAGACCTATTTCGCTGTTGTATCACTTTTTCAAACTACTCGCCAGGATAGAAAAAAAATGTCGACAAGCACCTCATCCCACAACAAGGAGGATTCAGACCCGGCAAATATTGCACCTGTCAAGTCTTCGTACTAGCAAAACACATTGAAGAGAGCTTTGAAGAAAAACTTATAACAGGGGCCGCTTTCATAGATTTGACGGCAGTCTATGAGACAGTAAGGCACAAAACATTGCTTCGCAAATTGTACGACACTCCCAATGACCACCATGTGGGTAAGATCATATATTCCTTACTGCAAAACAGACGTTTTTTCGTTATGCTGGAGGGTAAAGTAAGTAGGTGGAGAGTTAAAAAAACGGCCTCCCACAGAGAAGTGTTTTAGCACCAATACCGGCCGAAACCAAGCACTTCCTCTATGCCGACGATTTTGCAATATGTGCCCAAGGAAATAGTTTTGAGGAAGTGGTGGAGAAACTCAAAACTGCCTTAAAAACAATGACAGAGTATTAAATGCAGAATTCCCTGAAACCCAATCCCTCTAAAACTCAATTCCGCGCTTTCCACCTACGCGCAAGGGAAGCCAAGCAAAAACCCCAAATTACGTGGAATGGTAATTAATTAGAACACACAAACCGACCTATATATCTCGGAGTAACTCTGGACAGGTCCCTCATCTACAGAAAACATTGCATAAAAACGAGAGGGAAAGTAACAACCACGAACAGCATACTTAGAAAGCTAACGGGAAGTAAATGGGGCACACGTCCTGGCGTTTTAAGAACAGCGGCACAGGCACTCTGTTTCTCAACTGCTGAATATGCGTTCACCGTTTGGAGCAGATCTGCCCACAACAAACAAGTTGATACCGTGCTAAATGGGACATGCAGGATAGTAACGGAGTGCATGAAACCAACGGCACTATATCTATATAAAGCAGCGGATTTTGTAGAACCCTCAACACGCAGAGGCGTTGCAGAGCACATAGAGAAAATTAAACAGATTGCCAACTAGAGGCATACCCTATACAAAGCTCGAACACCACGAAAGCGACTAAAATCCAGGAAATATTTCCTTAGAACTGTGCAGGATGAACTGCCAAAGTATTTTCCTCTTCCCCAGGTTCAATAGACCGGCCAGTCCCTAGACGTGGACCTGAAACGTGGAAAATTATAAAAATGATAAGAACGGGGGTCACCCCAGTAAAATCAAACATGGCAAAATGGGTAAAAATAGACCAAGATGAAGTGACTGTGTCATCAATAGTACAGATAGAAAAATCATCAATATAATTTTCGTTTTAACAGCTAGAAACACATAGAATTCTAACAAAAATCAAATGTAGACGACAGGGATATAATATTCCTCATAAAATAGGTAGTCTAAGATTGACAGGACACCTTTAAATAGCGAATGAAAATGTTCCTTTCAAACGCAACATATTATCGATGTATGTGCGAAATATGAGTAAGAGAAGCCCAAGGCTGAAGTCGAAGGATGGTGTAGACCATGACGCGAGGAAAATTCGCAGCGAAGTGACAACAGTAGGCATAAAACCGATTGACCAAACAGACGACAAAGTCGAGGCTGAACTATAGCCCAAGTATCATCGACGACGGTAAGAATGTACCGAGAAAACGCATCAGTTATACTACTCAGGTTACCTGAAACTAATAATGGACTTTATATTTCATACACAAAATATTTAACATGAGATTCTGATTAAAATTAATAAAAACAGAATGTAAAATGCGAAAGGCAAAATGAAAAAGCTGTAAACATCTGAACTAGTACGTTGGAAACATGTTTTTATTTGTCGTAAACTAAAGATACTTTGTTTTAACCTATAAACCTTGTAGTTGTTAAGGACTTAGACCAAAATTTCTCCATTTTTTTGGCTTGAACTAACTACTAATAGCTGTTTGTGTATTGCTTATTTGTTTTATATTACTCACAACTAAACCTAGGTTAATTTCATCTTATTTCCAGAAATTTCTAGCTCGGTTGTTTTCCAGAATCAGAACATGATAGAGATGTCTTGTTTGAGCGCGCACGCTCAAAATAACAACTGCGCAAGTGCTGCCGTCAGACAAGAGTCCACTTCTAGCTCGGGAGCGCCTCCTGCATCGGAAGATCTGTCCACGTCAACGCCTGTCAACTCGAAAGAACACAAGAAGAAAAAGAACACTAAAGAAAAAAGTAGTAGTAGACATAAAAAGACTACTTCGGTTGAGAATGTCTCTTCATCCGGGGAAAATTACGTTTAAATAGACTTCGTACTATTTTGTGATTGAAGAGTGTGATCTTTTTAAAATTACTTTTAGTAGACAGAAAACGCAATGGAAAGATCTGAAATAAGTTGTTTTTTTGGAACAATTCGCTGAAAAGTATTTAGAAAAGAGTAAATATGTATTTTAGTATTTAGTCGAGAAGTTCCAACCCTCAAAAATCAGTACCCAAAAAAAATTGGTAAAAGTTTCACGCCTTTAATTCTTATCGAGTTTCCTAGAATTTTATTGGTCGCAAAATGTGATGTGCATTTACTAGTCTTTGTTTTAAACTTTTTCCAGGTTCAAAATATTTTCCATATAATAATATTAGTTAAACACCGCAAGGCAGGTATAAATTGCTTTTTTTAACATGTAGAAGCTTAACAAGAATCTTCTTCTTTCGGCGTATTATTAGGCCCTCCTAACGTCGGCATTTACAGTGGAGATTCGCTTACGGTCTTCAACTAATCGGCATAGTGATTCGGAACTATATATTCCTATCTAATCGCGAATGTTTGTTTTGTTTGAACAACAAAGGCAAACGAAGAGAAACTATGTGTTTGGGAAAGAAAAATACTGAGAAAGATCTTTGGTCCTGCGCTGGATGAAGCATCAGGACAATATAGGATAAGAAGTAACAAAGAGCTTGAAGACCTTTACCCAGACGCCAACATCATAAAAGAAATAAAGTCCAGAAGACTCCAATTGGCAGGACACCTCAAAAGACATTCTGACGAACGAATAGTAAGACTGGTGTGGGAGGAAGTCCCAACTGGAAGGAGACCACGCGGACGCCCCCGTCTCCGGTGGCGAGATAATGTAGCAGGAGACCTAAGCACTATGGGCGTGGAGAATTGGATGGAGGTTGTTCAAGACAGAAAACAGTGGAGGCATTTTGTCGCGTCGGCTAAAACCCACGAATGGTTGTAACGCCACGGAGTAAGTAAGTAAGTAAATCGCGAAGGTGCTTTAACTATGACATCTGCTTCCTTCCAATTCCTTCGTGGCCCTCTATTTTACCTTTCATAATAAGTAGAAAGACTCTGTACCGGCCTCTTCTAAGAACATGGACTAGTTTGGACATTTTCCTTATTTTAATAACTCAGGTACGGCATTTGCTGTTCCATTTAACACAGTATTGTTGATCTACATCGCTCTCCAGAATATTCAGGAGCATTCTTCTATGCAACCACGTCTCAAGCGCCTTGAAGCGAATGATCATATCAGCATTCAGAGTTTAGGTCTTGGTACCATGTAAAGAGAATACTCTGACTAGTCATTGCCCGTTTATTTAGTATTCTAGAATATTTTTCTAATAATCTAATCCTTTTTCAAAAGATAATATTCTTTCATCTACCATGTCATTACAACTAAAACAACTTTATATGCTAGCTTTAAGAGTCCAACACTTGTCCCACCGATGAGGGTTGTTTGCTCTGGATGATTGGTGTTTTTTTACTGATATCCTTTAAAAGCACTATACTTACACTGATGTGTAAGTATAGTGCTTCTGTGGAATTGCTGCAAACCTCATCTACCCTGAAATGACTTTGAAGGTCTTCAATTTTGAAAATAGATGGTGAAGTCCTTGTGAGTCAAATCTGGAGAATAAGTTGCTAGTTGAAGCAGTTCATGGTGCAGGTCTTTCAATGTCTCCATCTCAAAAACAGCCAAGCCGTGACCTTTTCCGATTTCCTCACCTTTTTTAGTGAGGAAGTGAGGCAACTGAGAAACCGGTTTCAATCCACAGCTTACACAGTTGTTTGGTTTTGAATATTTAGTGATGCTATAGTTTCATATATTGTAATGCATCAATCTAAAAATTCAGGGTCGTTATTCTTAAAACGCGTAAAGCATTCATCTTGCGCGAAGCTTTTTCATGTTCATTTCCTGGTGCAATATATGAAAACATGTTCCTTTTGATACTCTCAGCAGTTTCAGATACCTTTATATGTTGATCTTCCCCAATCATATGTCGATGATTTCCGAAGTATTTGGAGTTTCTGGGTAACTTTAGTGTAGACCATCTTGAATACTTTCGCGGTTATGTTTAAACTCGTTGGTCATTTCTTAAGTGTGGCAGTTGAAGTAAATATTTTTCATATACATTTACAAGCCATAACCGAGTGTCAGTCGTTATTGAACCTTGCACAATGCTTACAACAAATAACTGCCTACAGTTGACTGCTGCATGGAATGGCTTGAAATTTTGCATTACGTGTGTATGCACGTATACCAACGTAAGAGGAAAATCACGCGAGTATAGCTGCAATCTCTGGACAAGGCCCAGAACTTATGAAACAATTTGTAGACTTTAATATCAATTTGTAGTTGTCTTGGTGATTCTGGGTCGATTTTATTTTTTAATGTTTTTGACTACGTACTAAATACATATATTCCTTTATTCTTTTATTAATATGGATAATAATACAGCGAAATATTGTCCAATAAAAATATATTTCAGTGCTTGGTTTCAGTAAAGCCATGTAAATGCAATTTTCTGATAAATATAAGTTCAGGATGTGGCAGGACAATATGTTTTATATTTATGTGTTTTGTAGATCATACCACAATTTGATATAGTGAATTTTTCTTACCATAGAAAGGAAATATTGCTATTTTTGAAACAGAAAAGGTACAATAAATGTTTAAAAGAAATAAGTTTCCACTACAGGTGTTACTAAAGGCACAACAAAGGCCAACGATGAGGTTGCAGTCTCAGAAGTTTGTAAGAAGAATTATTTATCAAAATGTAAGTGTTAACCTCTGCTTGTTTTATTCATTTTAAACCCAGTCTATTTAGAATGCGCAATTCTACTTGCGCATTCTACTTGTAAACCATTAACTATATTAAACTTCCTTTAGTAGCTCGTATTGTTGGCTCACAACCTCGTCATATGACAAGTTTCACAGCGTGGTTCCTAGGAATGACCCCTGCAGCACTCCAGCCGTCACGTTAACCACCACTCGTTTTTCTACCACAATTTTCCTTTTTGACAGATAGTCGGAGATCAAATTCATCAAGTACCTCAGACAGCTTCTCTCTCGTCAAGTCTTCAAATTTAATGTGTTAAAAGCATTCCAAACGTCAAACAATAGTACGGTTCCCCACTTCTGGTTAACCACCACCCTGCGCAACTCCCGGAAGACTTCCATCAGCACATCCACCGTGCTCTTGTTCTTTCTGAAACCGTACTGCCTGGGTGACAGCTTGCCTGACTCTTCAACCACTGTGTCTATTGCCCCTCTTAAAATTCTCTCGTATAATTTACCTATACACGACAGAAGTCAAACAGGTTAATACTTGTCTTCCCCACTTGGGAGTAGCACGAGCCTCGAGATCTTCCAATTTGCCGGAAATCGCTGAGTTTCAAGCAGAGTATTCATGTGTTCCAAAATCCACGTCGGCTCCATACTGCCAATACGTTTCACTGCTTCTAGGGGTATTCCATCGAGTTCCGGAGCCTTTCGTGTCTTTAGAGCACTCAACACTTCGTTGAGTTCGTCTATGGTAAAAGGTACAGCTCGCACAGTTCCGGCGTCCCACTGTACTCCATGCCAATGGTCGGGTGGAAAAAGCTCTCGGGTAACTGTCTAGTGGAATATCATAGAGAGGTTACAGCTTGAACTGGTTCATTACGATTTTGTACACCTGACCGCAAAAGTCCTCGTCCAACTTGTCACACAGTTATCTCCAGTGCCTCTACTTCTCGGTTCGAATCTTCCTGTGCAGTTCGTTTTGTTGCGCATTGTATACTATATCCATTCTGCTAATGTCCGTTACTTCTCCTCTACCTCTTGTCCTCGTAGCCTGTCGTCTGAATTCTGAAATCAGAATAGACTAGAACTAGCGAGCAAATGACGTAATAAACCCATCAATAAAATCCAGCAAGATCTGGTTATCAATTCTGAAAGAAGATAGCTACAAGAAAATCCTAACATTAATAAAGTAACGGCATAATTTATAATTATCCTATATTATATATAATAAATCTCTACATATTTAACTAAATCTAATTTGAAGCCACTACTGAATTGCAGACCTTTGTCCAAAGAATTTCTATAAAGTCTGTGTCAATAAATCGTTTTTAATTCAGTTAACTTATTTTCATCGCTTTCTTTATACATTAGGCAGATTATTCTGTTATGGCGGAAAACAAATTGTGTTGATTGATAGTAGAGAGATATCTTTGTAGAATAAATATAATGCGTATTCGTTTGTTCAAATATAATCTATGCATAGCCAAGAAAAAGCGCGGCCGAACAAGTACTTGTATATAAATCCTAATTCTGGCCTACAGAGACGAGATACGAGTCGCCTCTTATCCTCTCTAGCGTTATTTTATGCTTTTCCTTGGCTAAATATATATAATATATATATATATATATATATATACGTAGTATACATGAACTTTTGTCCTGTTTACGTCTTAGTTTCCGTTTTCCTTTTAATAATTAAGTTTTAGTGATACATATTTAATTTTTCGAGTTGTCCAAGGCTGATAGAGCGTCGGTGTAATCGTTTTTTATTGTATATTTTAAAATGTAAATAGTTTTTATTATGTAAATATTGAATTCTCGAAAATAGGTATAAGTGCGAGAACGTGAATGATGTGTCAAATTTAGATGAGTAGATTTCATAAAACGTTACATTTTAACCAATATTGCCAATAAGAGATAGAATATAATAGTTTCAAAAACTTGTATTTTATCTTAATGTTTATGATATTATAAAGAACAGATGCAAAAATTGATCTATTAAGGGCCGATTGCTCAATCGCTAATCAAAATTTGATCGTAATCAAATATTTAATTAAAAACAAATACGTCACATTTTGAGGTTATGTTAACTGATTTATTTTATTCAATTTTATTATTTTGCGCTTAATTTAAAATAAACCATAATTAAACTCTTTCTGGTGTTAATTTCATGTTTTTATTTACAAATCAGTAATAATAATAAGCAATTTTTAATAATTTTGACAGCTGTTGTGACG